CACGTGCTCCAGCCCCTCCTCCTGCCACAGGAGCGGCCCACGGACTGCCCTGAGCTCTGGCTGAGAGTCGGACCAGAAACCTGCCTCGGCACACTGCCCCCTGCCGCTCCGCTCACATCGTGGCCTTCTGACAGCAGAGGGCCCCTCGTCCCCTACACAGCAGAACACCCAGGGGTCGCAGGACAGGGCTGCTCCCAGCATGCCCCTGTCCCTGCAGTTACTCCAGATGAGCGAGGGGTAAGCGTGGGCAGGGGTCGCAGGCCACGCGGTGGTTGGCAAGGCACTGGATGCCCACATGGCCGACATGGTTCGAGTCTGGACCCGCTGCTTGTCTTCCCACTTTCCTTCTCTCTCTCTCTGGTGACTTAAAATAATAAACAAAATGAAACAAGTAACTCTTAAACAGTGGGCAGGTTTACAGCAGTCTCGGCTGAGGGAGGACCCCTGGGCATCCGAGCGAACCTCCAGAAGCTGTCCAGGTGTCCGTGTTGGCCTGCACATGTGGGAGTCTGCCTCAGGCCAGCACAGCCCTCTCCCCAGGAAAGGCCCTGAGGGAGCTGGCCCTGCAGGCAGACAGCACGACACAGCTGGCGCTGCCCAGGGCGGGCAGCCCGCCTTCACCACCTCCACCCCCACCCCAGTCCTGCACTCTAACTGGACCTGCAGACCCAGGTTGGGGCTGTTGAGACCCAGCGGCTGCACACCCTCGCCAGCCTGGCGGGGGGAGACCCGCAGGGATACTCGGGCTGCTGTGTTCTAGTCGCTGACCGCCCTGGCTCAGGGTCCCGGATCCCTCGTGAGCCGGGCAGGGGTGCGCAGGGGGAGCGAGGGGAGAGCAGGAAGACCCCCGCTGCCTCCCGGACTCCTGGTCAGAGCAGCAACGAGGGCCTTCCTGAGCGCGCAGAGGTGCCAGGGGGCAGAGGCTCCAGTTGTACCCCGGCCCTTGATGGCTTCCACACCGCGCTTGGCTCTGGGACCCTCTATGCCAGGGCTTCCGCTGCAGTGTAGACAGGGCAGGGGCGCGGCGGGGCGGGCCGCCCATGCCTTCCCGCAGCCCAAGGTCGGTCCCGCCGCCTGGGTTCCCCCAGCTGCTCACCTGCGTCCATGGCGGCAGTGCAGTCCTGGGCGCGGATGCAGGCCCGCAGGGTCGCCTGGAGACAGTGCGCCCGCTCAGTCTGGGCCCTCCCCTGACCCGGGCCAGCGAGACGGGTCGCCCGCGGGGCACGAGGACAGCCCTTCCGTGGGTCCCACCTGCCCACTCCCCGTGCGTCCTGACGCGCTGCGCGTGCTGCCTGGGGGAGCCAAGTGCAGGTGAGTGGGAGCCGGACCCCTGAGGCCCTGCCAGCCTCTGCCCTGCCGGGCTCAGACCTGATGGCTGCCTCACCCCACCCACCCGCTTCCTCCTCTCTCCTCTCTCTCT